ATGTCTCTCCTAGATTTCACATCGGACAAAGAGATACAGAAGGTATATTTAAATCTTCCTTTTGTATTCACCTTAGAATCATGACTTCTTATGGCATATTAGTATAAAGTATACGTATATGATTTAATGTACATATCAGGAAATTTGATTTCCACTGGTTGGTACAAGTAATACAATATAAACATACACATATAAACATATACATACATAATATACAAAGTACTTGAGTTATATCATCATCCTTACTATCAATTCCATCAGAAAGGTTATCAACAAAATGAACTTATCATTATTATAATCATTATTATTTGTATTATTGATCGGAGTTACTAATCTACATACTTACTGCATGCTATTACTTATCCAATATCATTTATCAAAATATTACATTCAGTGCCATTGGTATACTGGGGCTAGATCATATTGTGTTTAGACAATCCAGTACAATTTGTGGCTTAATTGATTATTGATACTTTAGATACATGTATGAAATCTATGTATTGGCAATATAAGTGCACAGGTAGGAATTTTAGCAAAGATACAGGGGAGAGAAGAGAGAGAGAGGGATATATAGAAGATAAAGAGAGATATAGAAAAGAAAAAGAGAGAGAGAGAGAAACTGAGGGAGAGAGAGAGCGAGAGAAAGAGGAGAAAGGGAGAGAGAGGCAGAGAGAGAGATAGGAGAAAGAAAGAGAGAGAGAGGGAGATAGGAGAAAGGTTAACAGATGACAAATCTGTACACTGTTGTACATTTACAAGGTAACTTCGTGATGGTGAAGTCGTCTTGCTTTGGGGTTAAACAGATGGATAGAGTCAGGGACAAAGGATCTTCAGAAACATGCATGTTGAGTTCATGGTGCACACATGTGTATTCCTGATCTGTTAAAGTTGAAGTTTTCACTCAGTGAATGCGAGGGGTCCTGCATTAATCTGTTTCACATAAGAAAGGACATTATTCTGGTCCAGATCTTCGATTGATGGTAAATCGACTGCTATGATGCGCTTTGCTACCTTTCTTTGACGTTCTAACAGATTCCTAGTAGCATTAATAGCGTTTGCATAGTAGCAGATTAGGTTGTAGGGTAAAACACTTTGTATGAGGGAATTACAGAACAATGCTTTCAAGATAATACACATCAATAATGAAGTATAAACATTGGTGCAGCAGATATATATTGCTAACCCACATCTATCAAAAATAGTTATATCATTAACATGTATTATATTTACTATCAACCTTTTTACATTTTCATGAAAGTACTTGAAGTCTTATAATCATACATTTTTCTGAGATTGTAGGAAAACGTGTGCTAAAATTTATAGACAAAAATAAACAAAAGATGTATATCTAATTATCATATGATTACATCTTCATTAAGTAATCACATTAGCATAGTTTACCAATATATATATATATATGTATACAAGTATGTATATATGAACCAAACAAAATATCATAATTTCCTGCGTGATCGTATGTTTCACTGAGGCAATAGGCCGAGAATGAAATAAAACGGCACTAGGGGAATTTTGAATTTGGAGGTGAATACATGTTATAATGAATGATAAAATGCATGCAATATTTGTTACATGAAATTGTGAGTATTTGTGAATCTTCGGAGTTATGCCCTCTCGATTAGATGCGCGCAGCTGAGACAATGTAAACAATGGGTACGCGTAAAGAAGAGTCTAAATCGCTTTTGCACGCGTTATATCATGCAAAATATTGAGTGTCACATGACACCATTTCAGCTTAAAGGATACTCACTAACAAATACACCATCATCAAACAGCAACTCCTTTGTACATCAAAGTGTTGAAATATCTAAAGGCACTGCAAACTTTGTTTCAGTAATTCATCATCATCCAATAAACATAGAAAGACCTGTTAAGTACATCAATCTTTTGAATGACATAATTCAGAATAAATTCACAGATCTGAGCAATTTACATTGTCTTTTATGAAAATCAGAGTGGATTATAAAAATGACATCACTTAATCAGAAGAGGATGGTGATCAAAAGTCAAGGTAACATAATGCTCATAAGAGTATACCTACGTTTGTATCTTATAAGCCAATCAGGAATGCAAACTTACTAAAATATAAAAAGTATTTACAAGGCAAGTATGGAAATTAACATATACAGGTTCAAAATACACATGTATGGCACCATTGCATAATCATAATCATAATGATGCAAAAAAATTCCTTGTATAATCAAAATTATTGAAATCCAGTAATGAATACAATTAGAATAAACATGTATCATATATTATAGTCACTAACATATATACATGTACACTGGAATGATGTAAAGAAAATCCTGAAAAATATTTCCGTAGTACTGGAGCGTGTCGTTAAACATGTACAAACAATCATTCATTTCAAATTCAACATCACACTGATAACTTAGGCATGTTACATTGTCAAAAGAGACATGTATTTTAAAATTACAGAAGCATATTTACATATACCGTACACTGGAATGGTGTGAAGGAAATCTTGGAAAATATTATCTCAGATGGATTTTAATACAATGTATCTAGAACTGGATGTAGCTCTAAATTTATTAACAACAATCCATGTCAGATAAAATTTTACAATGATAACTCAGGCCTATGACATACCCCCTTACCAGACAAAGCTAGTTCTCAACTATCATATTGAGTTCTATCAAGTCTGCTGATGATGGCTCTTAACATCTGGGTCATTTCTGGTAACAAATTCACAAGTTAATTTAGATTGTACTTGATTATACATGTGAAGAGTTCAATTCCAAAAGGAGCTAAATCTATTTTTGTAACTTCGGAGAAAAAAGAAATTGTTTACCAGATTTTGTACAGGCGTCTAAGGAGAAGTGATATTAGAAGGTGCATTTTTTCATAATTGCTCCCAAAATTTTGGTAAATAATTTTGTTGAAAGACGGATACTTATGCCTCAGTCACACCTTTGCGTATTTGGCTTGTGTATTGCTGCTCATTTATGGCAAGCTGTGTTAACATTTATTCCTATTTCTTGATATCAAGAAATCAAAATCTTGATATACATATTCACAAAACGTATCCTATTATTGAATTACTTTCTTCATAGACCTTTCACATGTTTCGAACAGTGTGACAATATTATGATCCCTTTTCATAAAATGTATACACTAACACCAGATAGTGGACTGTACACATCAAAGTGAAAAAGAAGAAAACAGCCTTTTTACAAATATTCAAACGTTTGCAAAAATCACCGAAAATTACCCCCTTTTACCCCAAATTTCTTGCTATCAGTCCAGAACTAAAAAACTAACGGGCACATGGACGCCCAAAATCTAGGTCCGGGCCCCCAAATTTTGAAGCTTTTACTTTAGGGCTCATGCATACAGACTGTAAAAAGTTAAAATCTGGACCTTATTGCCACAAAAAAAGGTAGTGTGGAGCCCTGTATCCATAGGCGCCGGAAGCGGGGGGGCAGGGGGGGGGGGCAGTTGCCCCCCCAGTCAAAAAGGTGGGGGGGCAAAACGCATTTTTGCCCCCCCAAAACGCCCCCCCCCCCCTCCAAAAAAAAAAAAAAGCAGTAAAGGAGTAAAGATAGATTGTATTTTTAACCCCAAAGAACATAACAATAATAAAAACCTGAATTAAATCACATATAAAATTATATTCAAAGAAAGGAAAGTACTGTTAACAGGAATTAAATTTCCTAAACATTGCGCATGCCACCTATATTTATCAAAGGAGGTTTTCATAATAGCGATACGCGCATATCGTGGACATACCGTGAGAGAATGGGTAAGCGTGTCTATTTTTGTGTTGTTATAGGGGTGAGAAGACATGAGCCCCTGAACGCTTCCAAGATCGGTTGAACTTTGTAAGACCCCTCCCCAGGACGTCGATCAATTACATGTATGTGCCCCCCCCCCAAAAAAAAAAAAAAAAAAAAAAAAAAAAACCCCATCAAACTCTGGCTACGGCCCTGCTGATGGGGGGGGGGGGGGGGGGGGGTCATTCCTTTTTATGCGTTTGCTGGAAAATGAGAAATTCCCAAATTTACAGTCGGGCGAAAAAATATGCTTATTTAGAAGCCTTTATGTTGTGGTCTGCAAACGGTTGGGCTCGGGGGCTCGAGCCCCCCTCTCACTTTTTGAAAAAGTATATTACAGAGAAAAAGAAAGAAATAGAGAGAGAAAAAATAAGTGACCTGCCAATGTCACAAATGTGGTATCAAAATATGCTCATCTGACCGGAATTAAATGCCTTAAACCCCAGAGCTTCCGAGGGCTCTGACCCCTGGACCCCACCAAGGGCCCTAAGGCAGGCCCTGGATGCTCATCTGTTCATAGTTAAATATTAAAACCTCTGAACTTCCGGGGGCTCTCCCTCTTAATGGCCTTAAAGAGGGCTCCTGGATGCTCATCTAACCGTAATTTAATATCTAAAACCCCTGAGCTTCCGGGGCTCTGCCCCCAGGACCCCACCAAGGGCCCTAAGGCAGGCCCTGGATGCTCATCTGTTCATAGTTAAATATTAAAACCTCTGAACTTCCGGGGGCTCTCCCTCTTAATGGCCTTAAAGAGGGCTCCTGGATGCTCATCTGACCGTAATTTAATGCCTAAACACCCTGAGCTTCCGGGGGCTTTGCTCCCTGGACTCTCCGCCAATAAGGGACCTGCCAGTGTCACAAATAAGGTATCTTAATATGCTTATCTGACCGTAACTTAATGCCTAAAAACCCTGAGCTTCCGGGGGCTCAGCCCCGTGACCCCCTTCCGAGGCTCATGCCATGGACCCAACACCAATTTACGCTCTACCTGATCGTTAATACTCCACTTTGAAAAACGTTCCACGGGGCCTGCATATAACGTGTAAGAGTAGTGGTTTATGCAGATTTTTCTTCTGCCCCCCCCCTTCCAAACGTTTTTGCTCATTATGTCACTGCCCCTGGAAGGTGAGCCCCCTGGAATGTTTGCCCCCCCAATCCCAAACTGCTTCCGGCGCGCCTGCCTGTATCATACAAAGTCAAGATGAAGTGTTACCAGTGGGACACTCTCTTAACTCTACAGAAATAGCAACTAGACTTCATACTTTGATTGCTTCTCTGGAATTTCAGGATCATCCTGTGGAAGTCTTGACTGAGTACAAGGAACTTGCATCTTGTAAGGCCTGCTCCGACTACTACTACATATCTGTCTGAGTGAATCGAGATACAGTATGTGGAGTATTACCAACATGCTGCTGAGGGTGGTCCGATGAAGGTAATATCCTTCTGGGTTCCCATTGAGGGTCAGCCGAGTTGTCCGAGTCATTTGACTTGTCCGAATCATCCGAGTCATTTAAGTTGCCTGAGTTGTCAGAGTCATCCGAGTCACCTGAGTAGTCAGAGTAATCCGAGTCACCTGAGCGAATGCGTTCCCAGCTGTAATGGAAAAAGATTTTTTTTTCTTATTATCTGAATGAAAGATGAGAAATAAAAATCAACTACTATTGGTATTATTGAAAGTACCAGTCTCAAGAAACATTTTGATCAGTGAATGAAAACAAATAATAGAAGAGACTACAGTGTAACAAAAATATCAAGAACACACCCTCCAAAAAACAGGAACACAAAAAAAATCTACAAATCTAAGGTTGAAAGCACTTTACAGTAGGGAAATTTATTCAATAAAGCTGTTACTGAATATTTAGTTTTGTCAGACAAAAAATCTTAAATATTTTAATGTACATAGTGTCACTTCATCGCATGCCCTCTGCTGAGGTATCAGCAATGTATCTTTTCTTAGTATTCTACTAGAGGCTCGTTATATTGTTTCTGTATTGCACTACTCATGAAAAGTCTACGTGCTGTTATCTGAATTTTTTAAATATTTTTTATCACATATACTGTACTGACCTTTGCGAACATGGGAGGGTTTGAAGAAATAAATTCAAGTCAGCTTGAGCTTCTCCATTGAACCTGAAGTTTCCCTTGCTAATCTGAGGAAAACAACCCTGTAAAATATAAAAGTGAACATTGCTTGTGAACCTTGTATCAGTTTCAAGTAAGTGAATCTATTTCATTCAGGAAAATAATCTATTTACTTGGGGGATATACACTCAAAAGCTACAGTTACATCCCTTAAATAACATGACAATAAGGGGAAAAGGAGTATGGAGAATTTAAAAAAGCTAGAGTAAGAAAAATTTCCAAGAGAAATTTCCAAAAAAATTCGTAAGAAATTGATCCAATACATATAGTGCAATTTTAATGAAAACTGTAATATTGATAATAGTGGTAGTTTTACTGTGGTACTGGTAGTACTGGTAGTAGTATCCACCGTGGCAGTAGTAATTGAACTATGATATTGACATCATGTAAAGAAATTATGCCTGTTAGACAAATCTTTATACTTTTTCTCATACTGCTAGGGGATCAGAGAACAACAGAGAACACAAGAGCACTTCTTTTACGATTCAACCCTTAAAGGGCTCAGGTGGGTGGAAGCTGCCTCCTTTCCTGTAAGTAATGTGTTTGAGAATAATTTATTTCCAAGATCTGTCCTGACTTAGAGGTAATACAACTTTTGGTATGGGGTCATGAATTTGGTTCAAATGAACATATTGGAAGCATTTGCGATTTTACAATATTAAATGATCGTTGTCGTGGTTGAAATCAGTCTTAGGTGATGAAATTGTCAATAATAAACTCTTATGTTATATAGCTCCCTCTCAAGACTGATATTAATTTATAGCTTTAAAACAATGTTTTTAGACTACAATCGACCGATTTGCTTTCCCCGTTTGGAAATTATATATCAGAACTGCATATTATGAGATTTTCATGGTTGCAGCTATCATGGAAAGGCCTTAGGCGCTTTTTGAAATATATGAAATTTACCGAGAGCCAGTGTTTTAGGGGCTAAATTTTCTAGTGCTTATAAAACATGATGCTGGTGTGAGACTACGAGCTAGTGTATAAGGCATAACAAGGTTTTGTAAATAGTTTGGTGCTAATTCGTTTACAGCCTTCCATGTGGGAAGGATTTTGAATGTTATGCGCTAGTGGATTGGAATCCAGTGCAGTTTTTTCAGAACAGGAGAAATGTGATCATATTTAGATGTCCCTGATAAAACCCTGGCAGCTGCATTCTGAGCATGTTGAAGTTTGTCAAGATTGCGTGAAGTAATATTGAAAAGAGCATTGCCAATATCTACTTGAGATAAAACATATGCATGTATAAGCATAGCAGCAGACTTATGGTTAAGGACTTTTTGAATGCTATTGATGTTATAATACACTGATTGACAGATCTTCTTCACGTGGGCATCCATGCACATGTTCTCGTCAAATTTAACACCGAGATTTCGAACTGACGGAGCAGCCCGAATCTGGGAGTTACCAATCTGTATATTACGGTCCTTGATCAAATGATGTTGCGAATCTGAAGTAACAATAAGCAACTCTGTGTTACTCTCATTTAATTTTACTTATTAATGAGCATCCATGACCTCATATGTTCTATAGTAGCCTGTAGACGATGCCTGGCAGAAATTTCACTTGCAGGGTCAAATGGGTCGAAGGAAACATGCAATTGTGTATCATCTGCATACAAATGAATACTTACGCCACGATTATGAGCTTAAAGATCGATGAAGATCTGCTAAATTACGATCATTTTTTAGGTAAACTTCCTGTAAATTTTATAAGAATATTGATGAATTTGGTATCAGTTTGTAAAAACAATAGTGTTCTACAAGAAAATTACGATTATTTGTTTGGTCCGTTTTTTTTTTCCTTTCATCTTTTTTTCCTCTACGAAATGTCAAAGTTGGAGGTGCGGCCCATGACGAAAACTTGTCGTTTAAAATTGAAACCCCCATTTGACTTTCACCACTACTAGAGCTGAGATTGTGATAAGCCCTAAGTAAACACTAGCGCTGTAATCCACCCCCATCGAGACCTTGATGAGGTGATAGAGAGAGAGAGATAAGCATGATAGAGGGGGAAAGGAAGGGAGAAGGGAGAAAGAGACATTTGCAGGGGTTCCGGAACTATTTCCTTTGTATATAGCCAGAGTTAAAATTGTTGTTATATCGCCAATTATGGGTCATTTTTCTTCGTTCAAACTTTCATTTTGGTCTTCATCTTACTCATTAGTGACTTTTGGACATGAAAATATCTTAAAACAAGTAAAATACTTATTTCCTACTTCTCATTTCCTTTCAGGCAGAGCCCCAGTAAGAGTTTGTTTACACTAGTATTACGTAAGATAATGAAGAGTCCAGCTGCAATCCAATATCATAATCTCTCACGCAGAGCCTCAAGGCTCTGTCCAAGTTTATAACGAGAGAAACGAAATTGGGGTTCTGGCACCCCATCAGATTTACATTGATTGCTGTGTAATACCCAACTAACAATTAAACGTTTTCTGAACGTTCTAAAAAGGTTCCAAATTGGTTTTCTAAACGTTTTGTGAAAACGTTCAAAAAACGTCTATTTGTGGTAGGTTGAAAACGTTTTTTGGAACGTTCCAAATGGACGTTTTTTTAACGTTTTCTAAACGTTTTTAGAACCAATAAAAAACCTTTTAAAGATTTGCTTTTAAGTGCAAGGACCTGCAGAAAACCTGTCGGACGTTTGGGACGTTTTAAGAACGTATTAAGAACCTTAAAAACGTCCGGAAAACCTTTTAGGAACGTCTAGAACGTTTCCAGGACGTTTAAAGAACGTCTAGAACGTCCAAGAGAACCTTTTAAGAACGTCTAGAACGTACTGGAAACGTTTTGAGAACGTTCAGAAAACCTTTAAAGAACGTCCAGAACGTCCTGGAAACGTTCAGAAAACCTTTTAAGAACGTCTAGAACGTCCTGGAAACGTTTTTAAAACGTTCAGTAAACCTTTTAAGAACGTCTAGAACGTCCTGGAAACGTTTTAAGAACGTTCAGAAAACCTTTTAAGAACGTCCAATATACAGTGAATTTTTAATAAACGCTAGGTCACACATGTATTTCATTGATTTTATGAATTTATTATCAAACATATTTACAAAGGCTTGGCAATACAGTACATCATGTATATTTGAAAAAGAGTATTGGTATTTCCCAAAGTGCCCTCGAAAGAACATACAATTCTGATATTAAGAATAAATTGTTATTTGATCAAAATAAATATATTTTTATTCAAAATATTAAAAATGCTTGAAGACTACTTTGAAGAAAAAAAATCTGAATAGTTCGTTAAAAAGCAATTTATATAGATATTTAATTATTATTTTAACAAACATTAAATGCATAAACTGAAAGTAACGGGTCATTTTGAATATACTTGGCCGTTTGTGATTATTACTTTGCACCGTGATGGTGCAGGTTTTGTTTTTAAAGTTAAGTTTGACCAATACTAAACTATCCCTTTAAAACTAAAGATACATAACACATGAACAATCTACAAATAATACACAATAATCTGATAGATGAGTTGAAGATATGTCATTAACTGGCAAATATGAATACTCATATATTTACGGGTCTATGTCTCTATGAATATACAAGGCAAGATATAAATTAATAGTGTCAACACATGAACAATCTACAAATAAAACATAAGAAAATGATAGATGAGTTGAAGATATGCCTCATTAACTGGCAAATATGAATACTCATATATTCACGGGTCTAAATATACAAGGCGAGATAAAATGAATAGTGTCAAGAATTTGGCAGCACACATATAGCAACTTTGGTAACACACTTTATAAAAGCAATTTGAGTTATTTACAGAACCTGGCAATTCATGCCAAAAAGATGCCCCAGCAAATGATTAAGAAATCTTTCTATAATAAGTCTTGATCTTTGGTAAAACCACATAGTGCATAGAATTTCTTTGTGTACTATATCAATGTGAATAAATTCACCAGAACCTTTTAACAAAATGTCAGAAATTATCATTAAATACATGTGAATAACCGATTTAGCTATGTGCCTCCACCCAGGATTAGCTTCATCATCCGGTGCAAATTATAACTATTCAAAAGAGTACATGTATTTACTTTCTCATCAACTTCTACAAGTGATAAAAATGTGACTATTTTAAGAAGTCACATTTCGAGTGAAAGTACGGAGAAACAAAATATGGAAACTACACTCGTTTCAGCTCTACAAATTGGCAACACTGATGACATCAACTGTGAGTAGCTATCCATCAACTTTGTACACAAAATTTCATATTTTCTAAATTTTCCTTAAAGTTACACATTTCCACAGCTTTTGATCGGAGTATGTTCAGATTACTAATGACAAATAGCTTTTTACACAACATGCTTTGACTATGGGGGTTAGAAAATGTGAAATTTTGTGTACAAAGTGAATTTAGAGCTACTCAAGATGTCATCAGCATTGTCAAATTGAATAGCCCGAGAGTAATTTACTAGAAAATGTAAAAAAGAGTAGTTTCCTTAATTTGTTTTCCTTACCGAGTTTGCCCATTTCTTATTTTAAATTTTGTTCAAATTTGTCTCGTTTGATTGAAGCAGTGAAATTTCTAGGGTAGATTTCCCCTTTAAATCCGTGTAAAAAATTGTCCTTTTGATCGACCAAAGATTTAGTGGGCAGGTCAAGATTTCCCAGAAGCCTTTCATTGGACCTTGCATCTTACTTCAAATATAAAATCAACACAAAACACATGAACAATCTACAAAAAGCTATTTACAATAAACTGATAGAAATGAGTTGATATGAATTATTAACAGGCAAATATGAATACTCAAGTTTAAGGGTCTATGAATATAGAAGACAAGGTTATAAATAAACAGTGTCGAGAGTTTGGCAGCACACATATTGGTTTCAGCATCCTTACAAAAAGTGGTAAATTTACAGACCTCTACAACTTTGTCTTGCATTCTCAACAAGATGTTGGCAATTCAATCCAAAAAGATGCACCAACAAAACTGTTATGTCGCTGATAAAGTTTCTCCATTATTAGCTGAAATGGTCAAATTTGGTTTCAATATGAGTTTTAGGGTTTTTGCATTGCCCCTGAATAAAGGTATCTTAATCTACCTTGAATGAAAATTTGGTGTTCACTGGTTCGGTAAACGGCTCCCTCAGGTCTTCCACAAAATTCAACGGCCGCTCCCGGTTTGGACAAAAGCAGTTTTTGTACCAACTGCGTCAGCTGCTGCTGCCCTTCCTCCAGCCTCTGCAGCGTACACAGTACCTGCACTTGAAAATTGCCTGAGAAGAAAAAAACAGACACATAAAATGCATTATAATAACAGTTCAAGTCATTAAAAAGTTTGACAGCAAATGAATAGGATATTTTGGCGAGATATGTTTGATAGCTGTCCAATTTAGTCACTTCAGGAATATATCACCCAGCTTCAAAGACAACACCTGTGCAGCGCTTTCAACAAAGTATACATACTGTAAGGATTTAAAAGCGACTCTTCTGTAAGAAAACTATACCCATGCCTTGTTGATAAAATAAATTACATGTACGCCGCGATAATCTGTCTCTCTTATCCAATCCAACAGTATATTAGTGTAGCAACTTAGTACAAATGGCAAATGTTGTTTTGTTAGTTAATACACTCTACAGTATATGTTCTGATAAAAAAAAAACTCAGAAACTTTTGTTTGTGAAATGTTATCTGAAAAAAACTTACTTTCCGAAGCCCGAGCCCTTGCTGGAGTTGTGGGTGGGAACTGAAAAATGCGATGTGGACTTGGACTTTGCATTCAGTTTCGGCATTGGTATCTCCGCTGCCACAGCCTTAGTCGTTCCTCCGCGTACATGTTGTTTTCTTGGGTCCGAACCGATTCAAGATCTGAAAAATAGAGACACATTGCAGATGTTAAAAGGAATATCAAGACATGAAAAGAATTCTCATAAACTGAACAAACTTTTGGGTAATGCACACTTCTTGTCCAAAATGTATGCCTAGATTACAAATTAATTTCCAGTTTTGCCGGAATGGTGCCACATCTATTAATCATCATTTTGCATGGCTGGGACACAAAGCAGGTCTAGCTATATCAAATAAATTATCTTCGGTTTTCATCATCTGTTGGATTTTGAAGAAAACGAGAAATAAGATGTAAATTATACGTCTCTGGCCGAGCCAAGCACTACTAACCACCAAGAGACAAATACTTACCAGCGTCACTTCCGGAATCACTTGAAGATTTGCTAAATCTCTGGGGAAGACGTCTCTTTCGCTTCTACACAGCATCATCTTCCGGTACCAGGTTTGACGTGTCCTCTGCCTTCCTGGCGATGTTTTTTGTGCTTTCACATAGTTGCCTGTATGTACAAATAAACAAATCAATCTTTAAGTCAATCTACGTTATTGGAAATCAATTTCTTTAAATAATGTGTCATCTGAACTGAAAATAATTTTTTTAAAGGGACGAAATTGAGAACAAGATATAGATCTAGACTAGGTCTCGATATTTCTATAGAAACAAAATCCATACAAAAAAGGTGGTTTGGGAGCTATTTCAATTGCCTAAAAAACAAACCTGTTGTAATAGGGGGTGGGATAATATAAAGTTGCTAAATGGTGGTGGAGGGAAAAGCATGGAATGTTCCATTCCCGTGGGATTTTCAATGCTATTGCATTTTAAATCCCGATGGGAACTTTCCATGATTTTTCCAGACAGCAAAGTTAACAACTCAACTGTTTTAATCATCTGATTACCATGTAATGTAATGAGCCATGCGCACATACCCACTCCAGCAAAGAGTCAATGCTATTATGCGTATTGACCTCTAGCACTGCACTACATGTTAATAGGCAGCATTTGCTCAAAAGGAATAGTCAATACACACATAATACACAATTAAATGCACTTATCATGCCGATGCGGCTGTAAGCAAAGTTTGACAGTAGACAAACAATTCGAATTTCTAAATTGTTCTTTCTAACAAAATAACATCAGTAAGTTGAACAAATTGTATTTTATTACTGCTATTTAGGTGTCATCAATTGTCACTAAAGTACCGATTTTTAGTGAAAGAGTTTTGTACAGTGGTGTTTGAAATGTTGAGTATCAATAGCACAGCTTTTAATACACAGCCAGGATAGAAATGCAGCTATGTATGCACTAACTCCATTTCTCCAAGAAGCTCCGACGCCGTTCGGCATCGGAGCTTCCTGAAGTTATGTGTGCACATAGCCTAGCCTACCCAATTACCATACCAGTCAATGCAATGAGAGTTTCAACGGCCTGCACATGCGACATAGAGTCTACCGTACTTTTAGTTTTAATGCAAATCTCAATATTTTATTTCATTTTACATGCTTCAAAATCAATCAAACAAAGCTTAAATTCCTTACAGATATCAAAATGTTAAAATAACGCTTACCTCGGTGTCGCAGTCTAACAGATTATTTGAAATCTCGAAGTCACGTCATCAAGCAGTCAATTCGTCAGTTAGTTTAAAACATGCGGCAAGCTATAGCTCTGGATGGAGCGAGCGCGCCGCACCGGCTGTGCCGGGTACGATTCACTGGTACGATGATATACGGTGCGTCCGCAGTTGACCCCCCTCTCCCCTCCATGTACGTACGCACTTTGTATACACGTGGTTGAATGGAGCATATAATTGACGTAGCGCGGTGGCTAGTAACTTCTTGGTATGATTGGGCTTTGGGGGGGGGGGGAGGGGCACAAACATTATATGTGAGGGGAAGGGGTCACTACTTTTCTTCAAATAATGTCACCTTATGTTTTCTATTTTTTTTCCTCAAAATTGTTAGGGGGCACGTGCCTCCCCCCATCGCTACGCCACAGGAGTGCATCAGTTTGACATACCTCGACCCCCCCCCCCCCCCCCCATGCGTATGCATGTGGCCTAATTTCGCCAGCTGGTATTTTTTTAGAAATATTTTTTTGGACATTAAAAATAAATTCAACAAAATACGTCTGAATAAAACGTTCTGTAAACGTTTTACAGGACCTATCCAAGAACGTTTAATTTGTAACGTCCACAAAACGTTCTCTTAACGTCTTCAAAAGACCTAGCTCCGCAGTGAATGTAAGGTCCCAACTTAGACGTTATATAAACGTTTTTTAAACGTTTAATATGGACGAAGACGTACAGAACCTGATAAGAACGTTCTGTAGACGTTTTAAAAACGTTTTGTGTTTGCTGGGTAGTAGTAGCTCTCTCAAAGTTTTAACGAGAGAAACGAAAATGGGTTTCTGGCACCCCACCAGATTACATTGACTCCTGTGTTAAAGTGTGGGGTATAGTTTTAATTATATACCTCATACATAGATTGTCATTCACTGATTGGTCAAAACTATATCACATGTCAAGGAGCATTTCGATCTATCAAGTATCATTACGTCAGAGGGTTTGATAGCTACTATCAAACCCCGGGATAGGACCCCTAACCCCTCCCGCGACTTAGTTGCGCACAATTTTTTTTTTTGAGTTGCTATAGGCTACCGCAATCGCGCGGTTACGCGCAGCGCATAGGAATTCAATACTCTTGCCTTGGACTTGATGTTGGATTTTTCTTATTCTAGTGAGAAATTCCTCTTGATCTAGTTTCCTGTTTTTAAGAGCTGCATCTAGACCTACAGCTAGACCTAATCATGAATCAATAAAAAGGATGAGGTACATAAAACAAATATGGACTGCTCTGTAATCGGATGATGGTGGGAACTACCACTCCCTCGGTGGTGTTCACACCGGCCCTTCTATCACCCCCTCGGCTTCGCCTCGGGGTGATAGAAGGACCGGTGTGAACACCACCTTGGGAGTGATAGTTCCCACCATCATCCTCATGAGCAGTCAATATTTGTATACTAGAGCTTTTCGTAATGCTATGAGGCGCTGCCGCCTTATCGCCGGCAAATATGGTAAAAGTTTCAACTGAATCAGTTCATGTGTAGTTTGCTTTTATTCCATGTTTCATGGCTGTTCCAATATACCAAGTGAATGGCCTTTAAAGGCATCGTTTAACCATTTCAAATCTGAGATGCATGGCCATACGTGTTATCAGTGTTTGTGATATTGTGTAATATTGAAACCCTAAACAAATTACGCTTCAAAATGATCATGAAGTGCCTCAAAAAAGTAAAATGTCTTTGAGTGACCGGTTCTACCATCCTAATTTCCCCCAATGACTGTAGTGTTATAAAAGCTGTTAGGAAAACGCAAAATTTGAATTTGACTTCCAATCATAAATATCTTGATAATCAGACAGGCGATTAGCTTGTAAAAGTCATAGGATTCCTGACTGACCTAAAGGTTTATAATTATGATTGAAGCATGAGCTAAATCCAGGATTTTGTTTCAGAATCTGAGGCAATGTTACTGAGTCACTTTAAAAAGGGCATTTGGAAAAAAACACAGATATGCATGCATGTGCACCATGTAACTAATATTGCTGTTTCTGTCCATCAATGACCCTCCCTGACATATACGTTAGGACACACATACCTGTAAGGATGATGCCTTTGCTTTCAATGTAGAGAAGAACTCTTCATTGTACCTGTCAAGTGTCAGGTCACTTAGGTTTGGCATAGAACACAGTGCTTCTGCTAGGTGATGTGATGAGGCTGGTGTGGGACACTCGGTATCATTAAGCATGAGAGTCTGGACCTGCATTGTTTGTAAATAAAGTTAAGCTGCTTATCTATCTATACATAGATATATTTTATATACTAATTTCTCATCGTATTCTTACATTAAGCACAAATTTATATTAATTGCATTGTTGCATTCATAATAACAGTTTCACCAAAAATGATTGAATAGATTTTATTTTCAAATTAAATTCTTGTCTACTTTAAAAAAAAAAAACACTAAAGTTTCTATGGAGAGGATGATTAGTAAGAGTGATTAAACGAAAATTCTATATGTGTTCTTTAAAGGTAGTCTGTCCCTTTTGCAGGCTGAAAAATATAAAATTATTTAAATCTTATGGTAAACAAAAGATAATACCAACTAAATATTCCTCTTAAAACATCTGAACTGGTATTTTGCCTCTATGTGGAATCATATTGACCGTTAGGAATTTTCAATGCCTTGCCAAAAAATAGGCCTAGAAGGTAGACTGATTTTCAGACCCTTGTACTGCATAGTTGTACGTTTTGTGGTGAGTAAAGACTTGATAAGTTTATTTTGGGTCACTATAAGAAGCTAGTCATTGATGTGTACAAATGATAATGTACTCTTTACAGCTAATGTTATCTATGTTATTAACAAAATGTAAAAAGTCAGTCACTCAACAGTGTCCGACAGTGAAGTCTAGAAAGTAAATGGTTTCCCTTGCATAAATAGGCCACTAACGTTTAAATTCACAGATAGGACATTAGTGACATACTCATGATTCCTGCAAATTTCGACAGACTTTGACTTTCTTGAATAGCAGCCCATAACTTTATGCATCCTGCCATAAATATCACGTTAATAACAATAGGTCTGCAAGCCTTACGCTCACCTGAGCTGATAAAAATAGGGGCCATGCAATAAGACACCTAGCTCCCATCCCTTTTCAGTGTAAAGTGTCTAATTATTGCCATAGGGGCACTTTGGGGAATGCTGCCCTCATAACTTGAAATCTCCCTTTCCTACAGGTGATTCCTACAATCTTTGGTTAGAATCCAGCCATAGGTTTTCAACAAGAAGAGAATGTGCAATTACTGCCACTGACGAACTTTCGGAGCGCTGCCACAGGTCCCTTTTGAGATACGTACCTCATTTAAAAAAAATTAGATCTCCCTTGCCTAAGAATGATTTCTACCAAGTTTGGTTAATATTTTCCCACTCATCTTTTAAAAGAAATTATAAATGTAAAAAAGTTTACAATAGTCTTCCAAGAAATGCCGCAGTAATAGTGATATTCTAGGTGTTACTGGGTACATTTTGATTAAAGGGGCCTGCTGCACATATCTAATCACTATGCTCAAATCCATTGTTATACTCCTTTTTACAGCAGAGGGCAGTAGAGATGATTCTAGCCTCGTGATCAACATAAACAGTACATGTGCACGTACCTAGCAGTAGGCACATTCCAATAAAAATGTACCTAGTTACTCCTCAAATATCACTATTTCGGTTAGCTTTTCTTGGACAGCTATTGTATTCTTTGTCTAAGTTTTTGTATCTGCTTACAGTAATTTTGAGTAGTTGTTGTCTTTCCAATTGTGCTCTCATAGTTTTTAATGATTTCTTGGTACGATCACATATATTTTGGAGGGTTTGTTTCGGCACACATTAGAGCTAATGAAGTGTATAGCACATTCCTTCCATGACTAGTCCAAACTTGCCTTGCAACATCAATAAGTATCAAAACTTGTTGTGATTACTAAGTAATTATCAGCTTTTAAAAGAAAAAGGCAGTGTTTAGAATAAGAAAAAAAAAATTGTCTTAATTTTTTTTTATCGGTATGTCGTAAAGAAGATTTTTATAGAAAGCTGTTTTATTATTCTAACATTAATGTTTCTTTAGCTTAATTTATTCATCCTGAATCAAAATGGCGACTCGAATGTTCTCTTTCAATTTTTGCCCCAGTTCTTTTTCTTTCAGAGGCATGATAACGGCACTAAACATCACCAAATATGGATAACAAATAATTTCAATTGTGAGAATATACCGATCTGAGTAAAGGTACATATGTGTTGATTTATTTGATTGATAAAAAGGTCAATTTAAAGCGGCATATTTTTCATTGCCATCTAATTTCGGAAACGGGTATCAAATTTTTTGATCCGAGGCTCTCAGGCGACACCCGGGTACCTGGTTTTTAGTCCCAGCCCTAATACATGTGCACCATATAATCATTACTGCTTTTTCTTTCTTTCAATGACCCTCTCTATGACACTAGGACACACATACCTGTATGGATGAAGCCTTTGATTTCAATGTAGAAATGAACTCCTCACTGAGGAACAATTCAAGTGTCAGGTCAGTCAGGTTTGGCATAGTACACAGTGCTTCTGCTAGGTGATGTGATGAGGCTGGTGTGGGACACTCACCATAAAGCGTAATAGTCTGGACCTGCATTGTTTGTAAATATAGTTAAGCTGCTCATCCATACATGCATATATTTTATTTACTAATTTCTCATTGTATTCTTACATTAAACACAAATTTATATTACCTACAAAGTTGCATTCATAAACACATCCTAAACAAAAATGAATAGATTTCTTGTATATTGACCACAAGAACACACTAAACTTTCTATGGAGATGAAGAGGAGAATTTAGAAAATAGTGATTTATAAACAAAAAATGATATGTATGTTTTATTGGTCTTTCAACCTGTTTGCATTGATAAGTCATACTCCTACTAACACTGAAATTAATAATAGCCATAAATATACATTTTCCATTAATGTATTAAAGGTATTCATAACTCTGGATTTCATGTGCACAAGACGCCCAAGTCAGGAGGTCTGTTGCTATTGCACAGTTTGGTAAATGCAAGCCTTTATTAAAGTTGGCACTTAAAAAACTATCTGCAGATTTTCACTATCAATCAAATTTGGTAAAGGTCGGATATTGATTATTGATCAAAACAATGTCAATCTTATACACACTTGAATGTCAACTGAATCAGTACATGTATAGATTGCTTATGTTAAACGTTTCATGACTGTTCCAATATACTAAGTGAATGGCCTTTAAAAATGTTTGAAAGAAAAACATATATACATGTTCACCATATAACTATTACTGCTGTTTCTGTCGATCAATGACTCTCCATCACATTTATATTACATTAGGACACACATACCTGTATGGACGATGCCTTTGCTTTCAATGTAGAGTAGAACTCCTCATTGATATCCCTTCCAAGCAGTTTCAGGTCAGTCAGGTTTGGCATAGAACACAATGCTTCTACTATGCAATATGATGAGGCTGGCGTTGAACACTAGGAAACTTCAAGCGTGAGAGTCTGGACCTGCATTAATGGTGAATATAGTTAACTAACTAACTGAATGCATGCATTATATTTACTATTTTCTCACTGTATTCTTACATTTCATACAAATCCCATTAATTACTTATGTATTCATAAAAACATCCTCTACAAAAAATGAATAGATTTTATTTTCAAAATTCATTTCTTGTATATTGACGACAAAAAGAACTCACTAAAGTTTCTATGAAGAGGAGAATTTAGAAAATAGTGATTTAATGAAAAAAAATTGATTTGTAAATTTACAGGTCTTCAAACCTGTTTGCATTGATAAGTCATACTCCTACTAACACTGCAATTAATAATAGCCATAAATATACATTTGCCATTAATGTATTAAAGGTATTCATAACTCTGAATTTCATGTGCACAAGACACCTAAGTCAGGAGGTTTGTTGCTATGCCACAGTTTGGTAAATCAAGCCTTTATTAAAATTGGCACTTAAAAAAACTATCCGCAGATTTTTCCTAACAGGGTTGTTTTACAATCAGGCTACACAATAGAAAAAACTCACTTTGATGGCCCTTAAAACAAAATCAATGAACAACCAAGGAAAATCTTCCTTGGTCAATTATTTTGCACTGTTAGATCAACCTACAACAGCGAAGAAATTGTTTGAAACAAGCAACTACTTTTCAAAATATGTAATCATATGCCATTTTTTCACATTTTTGCTGTCTCATTTCATTTTTTGCAAAGTTAGAACATGTGCATGTCTGACATACGTACCCCCCAGAAAATTATCAACTATCAGAATTAACTCTTCCAACGGGTCTATGTAAAATCTGCGTTGGGTGTAATATTTTGGCAAATCTACAAATTTTGCACCAAAAATGAGTTGCAAAATGGGTCAAAATATTTCCTCTCCCGAAACCAGCATTATAAATTAAAGTAAGACCGCACACAATGAATTATTTTTTCCTCCTTGAAAAGAGTCACTAATATCCTAAACAATTATGATATTAACTTTTCCCACACTCAGTTTTTGGTAAATGCGCGTTTCAAATTTGTTTGTCAGGGGTGTGTCAAAAAGTGTCCTCTCCGAAAAAGTGACATTTTTTATCAGCACTCCTTCAAGAAGAGCCACATTTTGAAACCAACTTAAGTTATTAGCAGACCTAACATTGTGTTATCATGTGCACTAGATAATGATGTTTTTTTATTTGATTTAATATTCGCATTGATTTTGAAGGTGTCAAACAAAATGTCCTCTTCGACCCATAATCAGTAGATGGATAAATGACTGTAATAACAGTCTACAAAGTGCATGGATTTACAATAACTAGCCTAATTTTAATCCATCATGAGGTGGGTATTACAATCTAACACCTTCCTGTTTAATATTTGATGGGAGGTTTTTTAATTCTATCCATTCACAAGCTACTTTCACCCCCTATAATTCCATAATGTAATGTATATCTGGAAAAATTAAGACTTTCCATCTATTTAATTGCATTTATTGTTTGTGCTTATACCTTTCCACGTGATCTGTACTGTTAATCAAATATACAATGATGAAATTATACTATGATTACCATCTATATACATAGTCTCTTTGGTTTCGGAGAGGACAGTAGTTTTTTTGACATATTTACATACTTCCATCAAAAGTCTTCATATTCAGGTTAATCTCATAGAACAAGTGGGTAATTTGTTGCTGTTATACTATTTGGTGTG